CTGCCTCCCCCCGGGGAGTGGGGGGGGGCCTTGGGGGCCGGGAAGGCCCCCCCCCCTTTCCCGGGGGGGGGGGCCGGGTCCCAACGGGGGTAATTTGGGGGCCCTCCCCCCCTTTCCCCCCCCAAGCCCCTGAGGGGGGGGAGGGGGGGGCCTCGGGGGGGGGGGGACTGCTGTTTTTTTTTGGTTTTTGTTAAATTTTTTTGGGGGGGGGGGGTTTTTCCCCAAAGGGGGGGGGGGGCCCAATTTGGCCCCCGGGTTTCCCCCTCAAAAACCCTGGGAAGGGGGAAAACCTTTTGGGGTTTTTTATTTTTTTTGGGCCCTTGGGTTTTGGGGAAGTCAACCCCCTTTTTTTTAAAATTTTTCGGGCGGGCATGGGGTTTTTCCTTCTTTTGGGGGGGAAAACCCCCCCGGGGCAACGGGGCAACCCCCGCGGCCCGCCCCCAAAAAAAAAAGTCCTTTGGGGGGGGGGTTTCCCTTTTGTGCCGAAAATGTTCCCCTTTGGGGGGCCCCCCCCCCCCCCCCCCCTCCCCCCTTCATTTTGACTGACTAATCTTTTGTGTTCGTGCCATTCCTCCGCAACTCAAATCTCCGCCCGAAATATCGTGAATACATTAGTAGATCTGGCTGAAGCGTGAAGAGCTCTCGCACACTGGCGCGCACAAGATCAACAACGCGGTGGGCCAGGCCCTGCTGGCGAAGCGCATCGGCAAGAACCGCATCATCGCCGAGACCGGGGCGGGGCAGCACGGGGTGGCGACGGCGACCGTGTGCGCGCTCCTGGGCATGGAGTGCATCATCTACATGGGCGCCGTGGACTGCGAGCGGCAGAAGCTTAACGTCTTCCGCATGAAGATGCTCGGCGCTAAGGTGTGCTGGGGGTGGAGTTGAGAAGAGTGCCGGCACATATCCGCTGGGTTCAGTATCTGTGTTTGAGTCTTATGTGATGTGACGAGTCGACGGACTGTGTGCAGTGTCGAGAACGCAATCCAGGGGGCAGTAAAAAACGAAGGCCTCGCAGCGCCAACATGGGTAGAGGAAATCATTCCTTGTCGCCCATCACAGAGCAGCAAGACAACGAGGACATGGGTCCATCGAACGCGAGTGTGACATGGCAAATTCGTGAGTAGGTTTATGTGGGGTGGAACCGGGAGGGAGGCGGTGACGAGAGGATTTTTTTTCCTTTCTCTTGTCTCAAAACGTTTGCGTCCATACTGCTGTTGACCATCCTAACTTACTGCGGACGTGCCAAACCGGTTTCGTGCGCGCACTTTTCGGAGCAGGTGGTGCCTGTCGAGTCCGGCAGCCGCACCCTGAAGGATGCCATCAACGAGGCCATGAGGGACTGGGTTACCAACGTCGTGGACACTCACTACCTCATCGGCTCCGCGATCGGCCCCCACCCTTTCCCCACCATCGTGCGCGACTTCCAGGCCGTGATCGGCAAGGAGGCCCGCTCACAGGTACTGCTTGTCGGACCCCGTTTTTTTTTTGCTGTAGGACATGTCTTGCACCTTGTTTGCCTGTGTGTGTTTCTCTCTCCTCTCTCTCTCTTTCTCTCTCTCTCTCTCTCTCTCTCTCTCTCTCTCTCTCTCTCTCTCTCTCTCTCTCTGTGTTCCTTCTCTCTGTCCGCCCCCCACGCAATTTTGTTTCCATGGTTTGCTGTGTGTCTCAACAGCCAGCACTTGCTATTTAGGTCAGGATCGGGTTTGCGTGTTTTACGTGTAGCCCAAGGGTTTTCTTGCGGTGCTTTCGCCTATCGTCCGACACTTGTCTTTTGTTCTGGCTGCCTGGGCCAGCCTCCTCCATATGATCCCGTTGGCCCGGGACACCCGAAATATGTGTTTTCTGTATGCAATTGCACGTGTTCTGCGTAATGCATCGTTGGCACGGCGCCTGCACTCAGAGACAGGCGCAGATAAATCCAATACTTTCAAGCCTCTACATACATACGTGGCCTCTGGCCCTACGGGCGCCAAGCTAGGTTGCGGGTAGGAAGATGCGAAAATCTTGACCACATTCCCTCTCTTGCCTCTTTTCGCCGCTGCCGCAATTATATTAATATCTGTGCCCACCAACCGACCGGGCGGTGTATTGACGCCGCCAACCTCTCTCGCTTGGCTTGGTCGTCGTCGCAGATCGTCGAGATGGCGGGTAAGCTCCCCGACTACGTGGTGGCCTGCGTCGGCGGCGGGTCTAACGCGATCGGCATGTTCCACCCTTTCGTCGGGGACGTGGACGCCGGGGACGTGAAGCTCGTGGGCGTGGAGGCCGGCGGCAAGGGGATGGACGCCCTCAACTCGGCGACGCTGACCCAGGGCAGCCCCGGCGTGCTGCACGGTACCCGCACTTACCTTTTGCAGGTGCGTTTGTTGTTTTGTTCGTTGGTGGGTTGTTTTGGTTGATCCCGGCAACGTAGTGTTGGTTTTCTGTTTTTGTCCAGGTTGAGTGGCTTACTTGCGTACCGTTGTAGCGTTCGTGGGCGGGCGGAGTGGGCGAGGGTGCACCACCCTCTCAGACGCGGGGTTGGGGGCGGGGGGGGGGGGGGGGG